GCGCTTTTCGGCTGGGAATCGCGGTGGTATGAGTCCGGCCCACTCTCGGACCCAGGAGCCCTGCCGCTCCCGGAGAACTGGCTGCCTCGATCTCTTCCTCTTCAAGTTTTCCCCTGACAAGTATGTAGTGACCTTCTTTATCTCTTTTGATCATTCTTGGTTTGAAGTTTGCATTGTCTGCAAGTAGAATAGCTACCCAGCTTTTGATGGAAGTTTTGATTTCCTGGATATCTCTTTGAATCTGTTTCATGCATTCCAGTTCTCTCCTATATTGTTCAGTTAACATTTCTGTTATTTTTCTGTGCTCCTCTATTTTTTTATATATGTCCTCTTTAGATGTGCTGAGCAATTCTTTCATTATTGATGTCATTTCTTTTTTTACCTGGGAGATTATTTCTGATCTGATTTCTTCTATGGCCCTGATGGAGTTATTTCTTTACTTCAGTTGCTATCATTTCAGAGATTTCAGGTGTGTGACTTCCAAGTTCTCCTATGTCAGTCTTTCCTAGACAAGTTCTGGGTGGAGTTGAGTTCTGAGATTGCATTTTGCTCCTATGTCCTGTCATTTTGGATGTCAGAGGCAAAGCACTGAGCCACATGCTTCCCAGGCAGCTCACCGAAGGTCTCTAGGGACCTTAGTTTTCCTGGGTGTCAGACTTATCCCAAGATGGTAGAGGGCAGTGGACCACTGGGCCCTGGGTCCCAAGGCAGTTGGTGGGGTGCACAGCTGAGACCACAACTGTGACTGTGGGGGAATACTGGCCTTCTGTACCAGGGTCTCCAGGCCGTCGTGGAAAGTGTGCAGGCCTCATCCATGAACCCAGTGGTGGGCAGACAGGGGCTGCTGCTCCAGGGTCCACAGGCAGCTGGTTGAGGGAGGGCAGGCCTCACCTGCCAACCTAGAGGTCCACAGAGCTCGGGCTGCCCCTGTGCCATTTTGCAGTCCCCAGGAAGACAGGGGACTGCGGGCGCAGGCCTCCCCTGCCAACTGAGAGGTCCACAGAGCTCAGAGTGCTCCTCTGCCACTCCCCCATAAGCAAGTAGCCAGCAGAGTGCAGGCTCAGGCCTCGCCTGCCAACTGAGAGGTCCACAGAGCTCAGAGTGCTCCTCTGCCACTCCCCCATAAGCAAGTAGCCAGCAGAGTGCAGGCTCAGGCCTCGCCTGCCAACTGAGAGGTCCACAAAGCCCAGGGCTGCCCCTCTGCTGCTCTGCGGTCCTCAGGCAGCCGGCAGACTGCCCTTAATTTCATCTTAAGTGGGCATACTATTCTGAGCATGGCATTGGTTTTATTTTTTACTGAGTACCTACTATTTTTCTGGCTCTACATTAGATATCTGAAGATGTGAAAACTTACTATCTTCCTGCATAATCCTGTGTGTCACGTTATTGCAATTTTATAAATGAGTTCATTGAAGTTAAATTGGCTTCTCAAGTCACACAGCAGAAATTAATAGACCTGGGATGTGAACACGTCTGCTAACCCTGCTCTGTTCTTAGCAGCTCTGTTGCTCATTCTGAGTATTCGTGTGGTATGTTAGAAACAACTTGGGCTTATGAACTGGGTGTATCTAGATACACAATCTTGACCTCTGAAACAGCTATGTGATTTGGGGCATGGCATATGTCTCTCTGCACCTCAGTTTCTTCTCTGTAACGTTGCGATCATGTTCCCTGCTTCACAGGACTGTGGAGGAGCTCTCCTGGGGTAATTGTATAAAATAACAACTACAGCTGACATTGTCTTGAGCTTTTTCTACATGCTAGGCACTGCTGTGAACATCTGGCATGTATTAACCCATTTAATCTTTACAGACACTTAGTAAGCCTTCTGAAGTTCCTAGTTTAGTGCCTAGCACACAGAACATATTCAGCTATTGTTAGTTTCTCTTCAGTGTTTGCTTAAAAGAAAGGATTTGGTTTGATCATGCTCTTCTCAGAAGCATATCCAGCTACCGGTACCCATTTCCTCACGAAGCATGTCATTTTGATTAGATTTCTTAGAAGAGGGAGCTTCTGACATAACCAGCAATAGAAGCAGTACTGTTTTCCTCTCGTGAAATTTTCAGTACATAGAAGTACACCTAGTTATGGCTTAAATAACTCCTGTCTGGGTAATTATGGACAGATGTGTCTTACCAGAGCCCATCTAGAATGAACTGCAGTGGTCAATTTGCATCAGGCTGGTCCTACAGAAGCATTTCTTTAGTCAGGCCATTTTTATGGAGATTCGTAATGCTTTTATTTATCCTTCTGTTTTATTATTTTTTGGCCAGGAATCGAACTCAGGACCTTGTGCTTGCCAGGCAGGTGCTGTGCTGCTGAGCTACGTACCCAGGTTATTTATCCTTTTAAATTCTTCTGTCCTTTTGTAGTCAAGGTAAAGAGGTAATTAACCAATGGTCAGGTTTAGTGGTATACCTAAATCTATATATCGCTGCATGTTTTCTAGATTGGACCTTTGACCAAATAAGGGCCAAAATAAAACAGGCCTCAACTGGGCATGATGGTGCACACTTATAACTCAGTGACTGGAGGCTGAGACAGGAGAATTACTACAAATTCAAGGCTAGCCTGAACTACATAATGAGACCCCAGGGAGTTCAAGGACAGCCTGAACTACATGAGACACTGTCTCAAAAAAACAATCAATCGACAGACAGACAAAGGCAGAAAAGAAGGTCCTTTCCAAAAAGAAAGAATTTTATTTTGGAGTTTTAGTAATAAATTAAGTCACACCATGGTCAAAATTGAGTAACTGTAGTTAGATGAAGACAGACAAGATAGGAACGCTGACTGACATCAGGGCGACAAGAACCCTGACCTGACTCAAGAGTAGGATTTATGGTCCCAGCGCTCTGCAGCATTTCCTTTTCTGCCACACAGCCTTTGGGTCCCCGCTCTGCCTCACTCTTCTCATCTGAAGAATAGGCCTGGTGACACCTGCCTCACAGAATTATGAGGGTTCATTAAATAAATTTTGGAAATACTCTAACAGTTATTTACTCTTTGTGGGTACCCTTTAAAATCCAAATTTAAAGGTGTTTTTTTTCTTGTACTGGGTATCAAACTCAGGGCCTCCCACTTGCCAGGCAGGCACTGTGGTGCTGAGCTATATCCCTGACCCCCAAATGTAAAGGTCTTTTAATCCCTTAAAAAATTTTTTTTGATTTCTCACCTTGGAGAAAGATGACAAGAAAGCTATATGAATGTCCATCAGAAACACAGAAATCAGAAAGATAAGCAAGAAATAGGGAAAAGTCAAATGACCCAGTGTGCAGCTGTGCGTGAGAAGAGTATTATGAACTATTGAGCAGAACCTGCACACTTCTCTCATACTTCTGGGTACTTGGAAATCCCACATGGAAAACTCAAAACGTCTATCCCTCTGTTTTATTACTTGAGTAAAATCTCTGAAGATGCAATGCTTAAAGTGCCACTTCACAGCGTGTGCTTGTTATCCCTCTCTGGGGAAACGGGCCATCAGCGAAGTACTATACACAGATCTCTTTTAGCTCATAAAATCCCTCATCCTTATTATTCATGACAAACTATCAGTATCAATAATTACACTAAGTATTACTTTGGTTAGATAGAATTGGTTATGTTTCATTTTAATGACTCATTTGATTATTGAATAAATGCTCACATTTACCTATCAGGGTCTTGGCCTACCCCCAATCTCCTAAACGAGTGGATGGTGAACAGTTTAAATAAAAGAGACAGTAGTATGATTTTTGGGCCTCCAGGAAGGTCAAAAACTCTCTGGGAGCAGAGACTCTCTGCGAGTAAAGACAAAGAACTTCTCCAGACAGCCCGTACTTATTCCACAGACTGGAGGGGTGCAGAAGAGAACCCAAAGCCCCAGGAAGTTGGAACAAAGGCAGCGAACTCTGCCAACTAAGAGAACTATTTGATCTCTAAGGTCGGCAGCTTTATTGCTCTGGAATGGGGAGTGTCAGCAGCATGTGTACTCAGATTCCGCTCTGGTGGCATCTTGACTTCAGAGCGCTGTGAGTGTGAGCTTTTCCAACACAGCCGAAGGTCCCTGTGCTCAGCAGCTTAACCCTGTACAGCCCGATCTCCAACACTTACCACTTCTTCTTGCAGAATATCGTGGTGATTGATACGCTGATGAAACTATATCTACCTAATTTCAGTTTATTTCAGGAGCTTCTTTTTACACTCAGCCTTTGCTCTTGTCACTCAGATCCCCCTCATCAGACACACAATGAGCTTATTTATTAGCAGTCATTTGCCTTGCAATCCTTCCTCCGCTTGCTTTAGCCCCTGAGTGATCAGTGTCAAAATATATCTAGATATCACAAATGTCCCTGGGGACGAGATAGCTCCGACTGAGAGACACTGCTGTCAATCTACACCACCGATGGCAAACGCCTTAGAGACTCAGTGCTGAACTGCAACCCCAAACCCACTCACTTATCACCAAGTGCCAACGCTGCAATTAAATCTGAACACTGAGGTTTGGGTTTAGAAAAAACAACTCTACATTAACATCTTTTGTCTTAAAGAAAAAGATAATAACACGTATGCTATAGGCTCACCACCACTGATGTATGTAAATGGAAGTAAAATGTTTTACACCAACAATTTCTGTTTCTGGTTCCCCTTGTTACTTAAAAGTCACAACAGTACTTCAGTCTGTTCCTGAGTTCTTTGGCCTTTCTTTGGGCCTGCAGATGACTTGTTGCCCTCTCATCTTCAGCTCTTCCTTTCTTACTCCTGTTTGATGTTTATGTCTGCTCTTGTATCCTGGAAGCTTGAAATGCCCAGTAAGTCTTTTGTGCATTTTCACACTTTTATTTCTAAATCATTTTCGTTTACAGAACCCTGCGAGCAGTTTTGAGGTGAAGATGATTATAATCCTCACAGTCTTGTGATTTTCACCAGGTAGCATTATAAGAGTTGTTGACTAGCTGATTATATCTGCGGTGCACTGCAGAAATCAGTACTATATATTGGCACGTTCTTTAGTTTCTGGATATGTTAAACCATAAAGGAACAATAAGACACCAGTGGTGTTTTTCACTCACTCTTGTCAAGTGTGAGAGGAAGAGGACCAATAGGAGAAACTGAGAAACTCTGAGCTACACATCAGGTGGCTCAGGCTTAGATTCCAGAGACTGTCTAGTCCAGCCATGTCACTCTAGTCTTCCAGATTTGTGCAGTTCCTTTCATCTCTAACATTCTGTAATTTAAGGTCATCATCCTGCCCTTCAAAGAGTGAATAGTCCTGTTGGGAAAACCAAACATAAGTTAATTTATGCCTCAAGATAAATAAATGGTGAAATAAAAGTAAAAGTAAAATTCCATGGCAATAAATATGAAGGGCCACTCGTTCCTGGAGTGAGATATTTTGGATAAAGAGTGCCAGCCAGAATGGTTCATGTGGTAATGGAATAGAATTGGAGACATCAGTGTAAACTTGTTTGGCTTAATAGAAATGTGGACGGTTCTGTATAGAAATATTTGTAAATATGTGTAGGTGCACAGATTAGTGTACACACGTATATTTCCTTGTTCTCTGAGCTGACAGGACCTAAAAGCAACAACTTCTCCCTTGCAATGAATATACCGGAGCACAGATTTTAGTTTCTAACACAGTTCTCTAATAAAAGGAACTAGGGCTTCTTGGATAACTGGGTTAGGACTGAAACAGGAAATATAGAAAATGGTCTTGGAACAGAAAGAAAAGAAGTACTCAGAAATTTTCTTAAAAATCTAAAAACTACAGTGGTAGCAATATGTCAAAGAGACAGAGGAGGAGCCGATTGAGTGAATTGAATTGGCCAAAGTTGAAACAATCTAAGGAACAAAATTTAAATACTACTGAATTTTAACTTAAAGTATAAAATATTTATGAGTCAATATTCCTATAAATATTTATTTTATTAGTGCGTTTAGTATTTCATGATGATTGGGTTTATTTTAGGATGCTAGTACATGCATCTGACATATCTTCATCACTTTCAGTCCCATTGTCTTTCTTTCCCTCTTTGCTCCTCCCTCTTTTCCCCTTCCCTATATCCAGATGTCTACCTTCTGATTTTCTGCCCTTTCTTCTTTAATTCTTTATTAATGTATGCATTTTAGGCTTCTCACATAAGAGAAAGCGTGTGATATTTAACTTTCTGAGTCTGGCTAATTTCACTTAACATGATGGTGTTGAGTTCCATCCATTTTCCTACAAACAACATGATTTCATTCTTTTTCTGAATGAGTAGTACTCTATTATGTATGTACACCATATTTTCTTTATTCACTGGTCCATTGACAGGCATCTAGGCCATTTGCACAGCTTAGTTATCACGAATTGTGCTACTATGAGCATGGATATGGATATGCATGTATCATTATAAAATGCAGTCGTAACGTTTCTTGGGAACATCACATCTGGGGTTGTACAACATGGCATGCCACTTCTGTCCTTGAACACACAGCTACTGGGATTATAAACTTGGCATCGGTAATGAATTAAAGAGGCAGAGTTTAAAGTAAACGAAGACAGTTTATTTGGAAACAAGTGGACGAAGAAAAAGATAGATAGCTACTCTGAAAGAGTAGAGGGCATCATAAGGCAAATACCCATGGTTTTTTCCCCAGCTCTTTTTTTTACTAAGACTGGTGTCTCTGCCCCATGTTAGGCACCTAGAACTTGTAACAATCTGATTGGCTTTCTGCCTGTCCTTGACCCTAACCTAGCCTGGCACCTCTGCCTATATATATATATATATATATATATATATATATATATATATATTGGCCATTTAGCCATCTTCCTGCTCTTTTGTGATGAATAAGTGTGGGGAGGGAGAGCCTCACAGAAGGCAGCTTAGCTTAGATTTAGAAATTAAATAAAGGGGACATGTGTTGGCAGTGGTATAGTGATGGTAAAGCAAGAATATACATAGTACATATGTATACATGTATGTGTCTTTTATATGTGAAGTAAAAATCCTCAGATAGCTGCCCCTTTTCTCCTTTATATTTTATCATGTTTGGGGGTGGCTGGTTACCCTGGTCTTTTATGTTCTGCATCCCTATTTTGCTTGTGAACTCTTTTTGCTATTCTTATGTTAATTATGTTACCTGGCACGTTCCCAGATCTGGTTTCTCTCTTTACTTTTGTCTTTTAATTGCCAGAGTCTAACTATGGAGGCAAAACCTGCCTTTAGTAAGATTTCCTATTAATTTTTTAATAAAGCTTAATGAGATTCTCTTTTATCCTCTTTTTTGCTGATGACCTGTCTTTACAGGAATATGCCAAAGAGTGGTATAGTTGTATCAAATGGTATTTCTATGTTCAGTGTTTTTTTGAGGAATGTCCATACTAATTTCCTAGTGATTGTATTAGTTTACATTCCTACCCACAGCATAGGGGGGTTCCTTTGTTCCCCACATCCTCACCAGCATTTATTTTATGTTATTTTATTATTTTATTTTATTTTTCTTGATGATAGCCATTCTTACTGGGGTGAGATGGAATCTCAGTGTAGTTGTAATTCATATTCCTATGATGGGTAGAAATGTTGAACATTTTTTCACATACTTTTTAGCCATTTAATCTACTTCTCTTAAGAGTGGAATATATACTTCTCAAAAGAAGTTTTTATGGGGTTAATTTTTGACATTCTTTATATATTTCAGTATTAGTTTTCTTTCAGACTAACTAGCAAAGATTTTTTCCCATTCAGTAAGTTGTCTCTTCACTCTGTCAACTGCTTCCTTTGTCATGCTGAAACTTTTTCGTTGGATATGGTCTCATTTGTTGATTCTTGATATTATTTCCTATGTGTCTTCAGATATTTACTCTGTATTATCTTACAGCAGATTCAAATTTCTGGTTTTATATTTAAGTTTTTGCAGTTGTGTTTCACTCAATGCAGAGTTGCAAACAAAAACAAAATTTTACAGAATGCTTCTGTTGGTAAACCCAATTATTCACAAACAAAAGTGTTCATGGAGTGAGATACCACTGTATTGTTTTTCTAGTTCTATGAACAATATTGTTGATATTTTAATAGTGATTACATTGAACCTTTAGATTGCTTTTAGTAATATGGTCATTTTCACAATATGTAAATCTGATTAAATAAGTAAGAGAAAAGAAATCAATCTCCTAGTTAGAATTGAAATAATGTATGTACATAATCCTCAAAAAGGTGGAACCTAATTCTCTTTTTAAGTGTAAGCTATGCATAGATAATTCCTTCCAAAGGGTATAGTATGGAAAATTGGGGATGGGGCTATTGAAATGGAAGAATATAGTAAAGATCCTGAAAAGCACTACGTTAGCCAGGTGATCAGGGTTAAGACCAACAGTGATTCATGTTGATGATATGTACCTTTGACATATCTAGTTATGACACTTTAACTCTGTGATCTTCTTCGCCAAGACAAACTACTTCAGTCTAATCATCAAAAAATGGTCCCGTCTCAATTTAAAGCCTTACAAAATACCTGACCTCCAGACTATCGAGATCATCTAAAGAAAGTTTGATGGGCCAACGTTTAGGGAAGGATTACCTATAGCCAAACATTGTTCTTTGGGTAGACTAGCCAACCCTAGTTGTATCTAAGATGGCAACCAGAGTGACTCTTATCTTAAGCCAAGCCAGACAACCTCTATCTTCATAATCCACCAACATGCCATTTAGCATGACACTCCCCACTGCTATGACAGTTGATAGTTTCCATGACAATGACCAGAAACAACTATAAAAGGACCCGAAAAAGGTGGCATCCTGATGTCCAGAAAAAATATGATTCCTTCTCCTTTATTAGACTGTCCTTCTTCCTCATTTCTTTTATCCTATATCTATAACCTCCTACCACCAAAGAATTGAGAAATTGATTTGCAAGTCTTATCTCCCACATTTGTCCCTGGCCAAGCATAAATGTCTCCTTTGCTGCTTAATTAGCATTTGGTTTTGTTATTGATTCCACAATTTTGAAATGTTCCAAAGGATTCAGTTTAGGATTTAATAAAAAAAAAAAAAAAAAAAAAAAATCTCTCTGAGCCTCAGTTTCCCCACCTGGACAACTTAGAGTGTATAAATTTCTGTGTAGCCTTCTTTCCTCTGCCGCACCATCTAGAGTGGGAGGCAGAGGCTTTGAACTAGGAAAGTGCTTTCATAGCGTAAAGTGATTGTGAAGCACTCCTGAAAGGAAGTGCTTCCACCAGAACATCCAGGTCCACCCCCAGCACGGGCCCCTTCTCTTTGGTGTTTGTGCGACCATGGACGCCATCTTTCTTTTTCTAGGCAGTAGCTGTCTTTGTAAAGATAATGTTCTGGACTTTAGCCTCCACCTGCCCTCCTGGTTCCTCCATATATGAAGTGAGCAAAGAAAAGGAATGCTTATGAAATATCCTCTTTTAAAAGGGAAAAATAAATGGCTGAGACCTTGAAAGAAATGTTTGAGAACTGTCACAGTTAAGAGGAATCTAGGAAACAGGATGATTCAATATAATATAATATAATGTATGTTGGATGGGCTCTTGGAAGAGAAAAAAGACATTAGTTAAAAACTAAGAAATTATGAATAAAGTATGAACTTCTAATAAAATTTAGCAATAAAATATAAATTCATTAATTGTGACAAGTGTACCATAACAATATAAAACATCACTAATAGGGAGAAACTGGTTGTAGGATATATTGGAACTCTGTAATATCTCTGCAATTTTTCTGTAAACCTATACCTTATAAAAGTGTATATAAATATATAGGAAAGGAATATTCAGTATAATGGCATTTCTGTACTAAGAATAGGTCCTTTGCTTGAATATAATGGTCAGAGTGGGCCTTTAATTGAGTGGTCTATAAATAGCAAATGAGGAACCCTAAAAAATATATGCTCAGGTTTTTCACTGTGTATTTTAAGGCTTTGCTCATTCTTGTTCTGAGAGAATTAAGCTTCAGATAACTATGAATATGGCTGTCTCTGAGGATGAACGATTCTCCAGACATACCTCTGTGTGAGTAACATGATTATGAAGACAGTGTAAGGAGAATGTCCATCAGTGCTGGAAGGGAAAGAGGCAGAAGCCAGCTGAGCAAGGAAAGCTTTATCTATTATGTGGAGGGATGCCTTTGTATCTTATAGGTATCTTATAGGTACATTATTACCAAATATAAATAGAGAATTTATGTCTAAGGGTTAATGAAGTTTACTAATTTTGTGAAACTTTTCAAAGCAACTTTGCTTGTTCAAATAAATCACATTGAAAGCAGCAGAGGCTGATAATTGTTAAGAAGAAAATGACCTAGATTTTCTTTTTAACTTAAAATGTAACAGAAGTTTTTTTTTTTTTATGATGTTCAGAAATGTGAAGGAAAAAGAAGAGTTTCTTTTGAATGTTACTAATATTATTCTGTATTGGCTGCTAACAGGAAATTTGTAGTTCTACAAAACATACGGGGAAAGGGAAGGCTGAAGAGAGTGAAACTGCGAACAAACCAGTACATTTCTGTGGGCTGAAACCCTCATACTCTTTATACTATAATCCAGACCAAGGGTGTGTGGGTCAGGACCATAGAGGGTGTCCATTTGTCATCGCAGAAGGAGAATCTTGGTCAGTTAGGGTTAGAAGGCAATTCGGCCCAAACGTACTATTAATGAATATATCGGTTAAAATGGGGGGATGCTGCTAGAGGAATGGGAGGGTGAGATAGAGTAACATAGAGTGATCAAGTTTTTCATGGGGCTAGGACTAAGAGGAATTTTAAAAGTTGAACAAAAATTCATTGTTAACATACTTGAAAACAAGCATATTAAAAGGACAAAAAAAGCGTTAGTCATAGAAGATAAAGTGATGGTTTTGGAACAATAACTTGACAATTGTTTAAAGCTAAATCTTGTTTACAACCAATCATTAAATGGCAGAATTTCGGAAGTTTACACTCTGCAGTCAGTAAATGAATACATGGCACGTGGTTTTGGTCTTTCCTTGGGAGCCACCAGGAGCTTCTACCCGAGCGTATTCCCACTCGCTGGCGCTTTCCCCTTCGTTGGCGTCAGTGACATCACACAGAGCTATCCCATCTCTCCTTTCTACTGTAGGAAAAGTGGCTTTTCTCACTGGCTTGTCAGTATTTTCTGTTTAAATCTGGATATAGCTTTTGGTGTTTTCATAGAACAGTCAGAATGTGTCCTCAAGACCCGCCATCACTTTAGTTAATATAATTCTAGTACAGAACATTGAAAGGATGTTAAGTAATAAGATTCAAGCTTAACAAACAACCATTTGACTTTGGAATTATTCTATTTAACAAATACTAAATTAAAGACTTACTATGTGCTATAAGTGTATCGTATTATGGCAATTATTAGCAAGAAGTAGTCCTTTGGGTTTATTATAAGATAGAGAAGTGCCATAACATAAAATAGACATTCTTCTAGAAATCAAAATTCAGTAGAGGACTCCCCCCAAAACTGGTAAGGTCAATAGTCAGGGTGTTAGAGAATTGAGAACAGTATAGAAAACAACCTTAAAGAAGAAGCAGTATTCGAACTGAATCCTACAAAAAGAAAAAGAGGAGGGAGAGAAGAGAGAAGAGAGAAAGAAAAAATTAGTGAAATGGTACTTCTGTAGCTATCCAGTAAGCATTGCCATGGTTAGAGGTATAGGGATGCTGAGCCTTTTCAAGATGAAAAAAAGTCCTGGAGAGGTGAAGGAGGGCCCTAACATGGGCTGCTGTAAGAGACCTAGAAAGTCTAAGCTCTAACCGTGTACCAGGAGAACCTGTGAAGGGCTCTGAGAACAGTGGCCATATGACCACTTAGATTGGCATTCTGGAAAGCAATATGTTTTGAAAAGCCCCTTAGAAAGTGATTATATTGATCCAGAAGAGAGATAGTAACACGCAAACCAAAGCCGTGAACAGGAAAGGTTGAATGTGGTGTATTTTAACACCAAAATTTGTATCATATGGCAACCGCTGGAAGGATTCTGGCTTAGTGAACTAGGCATCCCACTCATTCTGAAGGCAGCTCCAGAGCAGTCAGGCTGAGGAGAAAAGATGAGCCATTGTGGACATGCAGATCAAGAGCTTAGGGCTAAGTCTGGACTGTAGACACCACTTTCAGGCTTTGGCAACCTCTGATGGTAGTTGAAGTTATGAGAGTGGGTAAGACTGCATAGGAATAGAGCAAAACAAATGATAGCTACTAGGAAACAGGGAGATAGATTTTTTTTCCATAAGGGAAGGTGACCAAGGAAGGAGGACTGGGGAGGAGGACCAAGATGGAGGAAAAGGGGAGGAGATGAGAAAAGAATTAAGGTGTGTTACATACATGTACCAACTCCACAGCATGAATATAGTAATTAGTATACTGCAAATATGTACTAATAATTTCTTTAATTCCCTGGAAGGCTTGTAGGATAAGACAGAAACAGGCCAGAGACAGAACCCATTAGTGTGTGCAAGGGGAGAGCACAGCAGGGACCAGGTGTCAGTTTGGCATCTAAATTGTATGTTCTGGGTAGAGGCGCGTATGAAAGAAAAACAGTACACACTGTCCCCGGTAGTGTATTTTATTGGAGGAATACTGAGATTACCCCACTTATTCAAGACTGGGTGGTAAATTTTTGAGACTTTGCTTTTGTAGTGATGGAGAACATATGTTATTTATGATAAACCACAGCAGATTTCAGTTAAAATAACTGCTGATCCCGTAAACCCGGAAAGCAACAAGGAAAAGCTGACAGCAAGGCAGGTGTTTTGAGGGCTCACCAGCCAGGTACTGCCCTGCTGTCCTGACTGGGTGAGACGGGTGAGACAGTATGCGCGTCAGAGAAGAGCGACTGAGCGTGCCGCTGCATGATCATCGCGGGTGATCATTTCAAAGAACGCTCTCCCTCTGGAGGGTCACAGGCAGGCAGTTATCCTGAGAACTCTGAGCTGTGAGACCCTTACCTGTCCAGTCTTCACAACAGTTTCTGTACATGAGGCTCATTTATAAAAAGGGCTACGAAGTCAGAAAGCCACTGGTTGAATAATAATTAATCCAAGAGCTGACCTCCTTTGCCTCTGAGTGGTCTCTAAACAAATGTTTGCCTATAGAAACCTGTAGTGTTTCACACTGCTAGATGGCACATATAATAACTCTTACTGATATTTCCTCCTGAAAGTGGTCGTGCTGGACTGGACACTTCTGAATAACCAATGAAAAATCCTGCGGGGTTTTTCTTCATGCACGGGTCCTGTTTTGTACAGCTGGTAGGTCCACAACTCTCTAATCAGACCAGAAAGGGGTAGGCCAAGGGCTATGGAGACTTTTTGGATGTTAAACGAGATATTCAAGAGATCATCCTAATTTCATTCACAGGGTTTCCTCAAAGTGTGTGCATTTGGATGAGGAATTCTTGGTCTCGTTTTAAGCTCTATTCCAGGTGGCTACATGGTTGCATGACTCCTTGAACTGTCCCACAGAAAGTATGACATTAAAATACTAGAACTTAGCAGAAGTACAGTGTTATTCTCCATTTTCTCTTTTGTCCCAATCTGTAAGTCCCAAGAGGGACATTTTATTCTTGTGTATTTAGGCATGCAGTTTTACCTCCTAAGATCTCCTTTCCCTTGACCATAGAATTCACAGTGAATCGCACCCACTATTGCTCTCCCACCTTTTCATGTCTCTGTGTGATTGAAAACAGTTATGAGTAAATGGTGTCCGCGTTGCCTGAGCTCAGCAGGACTTTCTTCTACAGCGAGTACAATGATAGCTGGACCACAATGTACAGCCAACGTGGCAGTTTCTAAACAATAGTACTTATTGAGAGGAACTATTTTTTTTCTATCAGGAACTTTCCTGGGGGGGGGGGGGAAGAGAGTGTGTGTGTGTGTGTGTGTGTGTGTGCACATGTATGTCTAATGGGGGCCTAGAAAAAAAAGAACTTTTCACATGGGAGAGTGCTACTTCAGAGAATTAGGGTATTTTACCACTTAAAAAATATTTTATAGAGATAGCTTAGTGTTAAACCATATGCTTCGCATTCATGCAGCCCTGAGTTCAGTTCACGAACGTGTGTGTGTGTGTGTGTGTGTGTGTGTGTGTGTGTGTGTAAGAGAAAGAGAGATGGACAGACACATAGAGAGAGAGTTGACTGGTTGATGCAGCATTTTTCCCTTTCCCAAAAGGTAAAACTTCTACACTTAACAGAAAAAGAGCCTTGTCTTAACATAATAAAACAAACATCCCCTCCCTTCTTTATAAAAGTGAGGAATTCTTCTGTCTTCAAACTTACTGTTACACCTGAAACATCAGATATTTAAAATTTGGGGGAACCTTAAAGCCTGTCCTTCTGTTGCAGGTGCAACAATGAGAGCGAGTGGGCCCAGATCCACGAGAACATCATTCGCAAGTCCAGCGCCAAGTACTCTGCCCCCAGCGCCAGCCATGGTGATGTATTTCTGTGGCTAGAAAATTTTGTACTGCATTTTCATTTGTTGATTGTATGACACCTCAGTTGGTGTTGATTGGCTGCTGTATGGAAAGTTTAGCTCTCTGCAGTTTTTTCCCCCGCCAGACACTGTCTACTGCTTTTTAAATAATAATTTGAGGCCTTCTCCAATATATCTCCTAACCAAAATATATTTTCTGTTTTATGATAGATTCCATGTACTTTATTAATTAATTTGCATTCCAGTTTAAATCCAAAGTGAACAGCAGTGTTTCATGGTTTGTCACACTATGAAGTCTGTGTCTTCCTGAGCAAAAATTACATACTCAAAAAGACAAATATTAATATCAATTTGCTTTCCATTCCTATTCAGTATAAACATCATGAAGAAATTCTGACATTAATGAGAGTTAATGATTAGTCTGCTGGAATCAGTCATTCTGGAACTAGAATCAAAAAATCTTTATTTGAAAGCAGCTTTCATCTTAGCTCAGCATCTCCTTTTCTTTGTTTTCTTGGGGAGGTATTGGGTTGGTTGGTTGGTTGGTTGATTGGTTGCTTTTTTGAGACAGGGTCTCGCTATATAGTGCAGGCTGGCCTTGAAATCACTATCAGCCAAGACTGACCTCAAACTCAGAGCAATCCTCCTGCCTCACTCAGCCTCCTGAGTACTAGGATTACAGGCATGTACCATTATGCCCAGCTTTCCCTCCTTTTTTGTTAAAACTCTGTTTAAATAATTTCTGTATAAATCTCAGTGAGATTCTTTCTACACATGAGGTTTTGCTTCCTAAGTTGAACATTAATTGCTTGATTAAATTAGAAGCACTATTTAAAAGCCTAGAAGTTTTAATATGCACTTGCAAACAGCTATCTAATTTACACAGAACTATGTTTCTCTTGACAGTTTTTACCTGCCAATCATTTCATAACCTTTTTTACATTACATCTTTAACTTTTATATACCTTGCTGAAAATTAAAATATAGCCTTAAAAAACAGTATAAAGTCACTGAAGGCATGGCAGTTCCTAAAGAATAATACTTATTGACAAGAACTTCATCTTCTCTATCAGTGTCAGCAGATACCTAAATAGGAGCATCCTTCATCCATACCTGAGGCTACAAAGGTTGAACCTTTAGCTAGGACCACTTGATTTCTCTAAAATTCCATAATGTATGCACCCTGGGAGTCTCACTCACTGTTTTTAAATGACATTTCTCCCATATAGATATGCTTATATGCCAAGGAGCTCCATGCAGTATGACAAAAGTAGGCTAAAGCAAGAAAAAATAAAATCATTTTTAATATTTAGGAAGTCCTGGGGATGTAACTCAGTAGTACAGTGCTTACTTAGCGTGCTCAGGGTCTTGAGTTCAATCCCTAGCACTAAATAAATAAGTAAACAAAAATGGTTAAAAGTTCCTAGCAATTTGGAAAGTAACCATTCATACCAGTATTTATGTTTTTTATTTATCTGATAGAGAAGTGCCCTCACCTATGAGTTCTTGGGGCATGATATGATTAAAACATGGAGACCATTATAAAATAGAGATGTAATACATGCTTTTTTAAAAACTGGAAGAGCAATTTGTACTGTCACCATGTTAAGACAGTGAGTTGCATCTGACTCTCCAAAGGAACCATACAGTCTTCAGTCTGAACTCACAGGCACTGACCATTTCAACCGTGTTAGCAAGACACTCCTCCCTCTGTGCTGGGGCACTACACCCTTCAGAGCCTCCGCTAGGATAGCCTGATTGTAAGGAAGTCCCTGTGCCGCTGGTGCGAAAGTCCAGAGGAGAAATGGGCTATTTCTTGTTAAAGTGTGTGTTGAGACCTTGGAATGAAGTACAGAGGTCAATCCTCTTGTTAAGTAAGTGAGGACATAGGAGCTCAGTGAAATGGCTTAGCTGAGCCAGCGTGTAGTCCAGGTCTGCAGACTCATGATCACTGACCTTTCTGCTCCACTGCCAGGGTGAATGTGGGCTTCCCACTGCTGCACTCTGGGGTCTTAATGTCAGGTAGTTTCACGTATTACTCAGGTCTTTTACTAGACCCCTTAATTAAAGACACATCTTTATAAAAAAGAATGTACTTGACCGTGCACTGTCACCCATCTTTGTTTTGGGCGTTTTTCTATTTTGTTTTTTGGGGTATTTCTTGTGTTATGAGGTAGCTGTGTTGTTCTGTTTTGTCTTTTTTTTTTTTTTTTTTTTTGATAGGCATTGTGTAGTTTACTATGTAGTTTACACTAGCCTGAAACTCACTGTAGTCCAGACTGGCCTTAGACTCACAGTAATCTGCCTGCCTCAGCCTACAAGTGCTGGAATTATAGTCATGCACCACCATGCCCAGCATTTTTTGGTTGTTCTGTTCTGTTCCCTTACATTCCCTTACATTCCATTACATTCTGTTCCATTATGTTCCCTTCCATTCTGTAATGTGATCTCTTTTGTTTGGTTTTTTGAGACAGAGTCTCACTATGTAGCTCAGCCTGGCCTCAAACTCTCAGTGACCCTCCTACTTCAACCTCCCAAGTGATGTGATGACAGATGCATGTCACCAGGCCTGCTAGTTTGGTTTTTTAGAGGAGGTTTCACTATGTTGCCCGGGCTGATCTTAATCTCAGGGGCTCAGTGATCTCTCACATCATCCTCCCAAGTAGCACACATCACCACATGCCCAGAAACTTTTAAGCATCACAATTTGTTTCCTTGCTTGAGAAGCCATAGTACTTTTTCTTCAAGTCAGATGTCTAAAATGATAAAAGGAATTGCTACATTGGTTTTGAGTGCTGAGAGTAAAAGTATCATTCAGTGATATATGTGGTCTTTGTTTCCATTTTTGGAATCTTCAGTGTATATTCAGACTGAACTCTTAGCAATTCCAATAGCATGATGGTCATTAGGGACAAGTGAAGATAAGGCAGTTGGCACACAAGTTTTCCATTTATTTTTAAATGACTTTTAACTACAGCTTTATTTCTATAACTTGGCCTGAGTGTACTTTACGTAATTGATCCTCATCAAGCATTTCCAAGGCAGGGCCGGGAGGTGGGTGATGGAACAGAGGAAAGCTGCTGTTCACTATTCCAGACGTCAGTTTGTCCCATTACTTTTCTATGAGCTGGTCTTTACCTGGAAGGGAAGCTCAGTTTTTTTAAAAAAACGGATTTCTCATGTCAGCTAAACGAAGGGATCAGACTGATAGAGAAATCGTGTAGACTTGGTTGATTTCAGATCACTGGACGTGAGGTCCACACAGAGGTAATGGGTGGTGTCATACCAATGTTTCTCAAGGGACTGGTAGCCGATGGGTAGGTGAGGGGGTCATTTTTTGAGCTATTCAGTGGGGCTTTCTTCCCTAGACAGCCATACCTTACCATTATTTGGGATGTTCTTCACTCACTTAGCATTTCAGAATTAGAAAGGAAATCCAGGAGTTTCAAGACACCAACCCCATGAAAGAGAATATAGTTTTTTAACCTCTATTTGTGGTTTCTTTCATTCTTCATATGCCTTTCCACTTGGTCTCATGCATAAATCAAAACTTCCTTTTACTAAAAGGTAGAAAGCAGCTGGTCAGAAAAGACCTAGAATAGCAAAGGCAATTCTGGGCAACAAAGGCAAGGCAAGGAGCATCACAATGAAATTTACTATAAGGCTACTGTGATAAAAACAGCATGGTACTGGCAAAAAAAACCCAAAACAAAACGAAACAAAAAAACAGACCTGAAGATCAATGGAATAGATTAGAAGATGTAGAAATAACTCCAGACATACTTAGCCACCTTATCTTTGACAAAGAGGCCAAACACATTCACTGGAAGAAAGATAGCTTCTTTAATAAATAGTGCTGGAAAAACTGGCGGTGCACCTGCTGAGGATTAAAATTGTACCCATATCTTTCACCACCAACTAAATTTCAAATGGATCAAAGATCTAAATATTAAAACAGAAATATTATATCTGCTGGAGGATAGAACAGATAAAACTCTTGAAGATATTGCTGTAGGCAAAGACTTTATGAATAAAACCCCAGTTGCACAGGTACTGTGACAAAGAATCAACAACTGGGATCTTACCTTACTCAGAAAGCTTTTGCACATCAAAAGAGACCACCAACAGAGTGAAGAGACAACCCACAATGTGGGAAAAAATGTTTGCCAGCTGTACCTCAGACAAAGGATTACTATTGAGAACATATAAAGAACTCAAAAATATCAAACTTCCCAAATTTAAAGACCTAATCCAAAAATGGGCATCTGAGGTGAAAACACACTTCTCAGATAAAAAAATATAAACAGCAAATAAATATATGAAAAACTGTTCATCATCACTGGTTATTTGAGAGATGCAAATTAAAACAACACTAAGATTCCATCTCACTCCAGAAAGAATGGTTATCATGAAGAAATCAACCAACAACAGATGCTGGAGGGACTGTGAGGAAAAAGGAACTCTTATGCACTGTTCGTGGGAGTGTAGACTGGTGCATCCACTGTGGAAATCATGTAAAGATTCCTCAAAAAACTAGGATTAGGCGTCCCACTTAATCCAGCTATTCCCCTTCTGGGTATCTTCCCAGAAGAATTAAAAACATTGTACCACAACGATACAAGTGCACCCATGTTTATAGCAGCACAATTTGTAATAACTAGATCTTGGACACAACCCAGATGCCCATCAACTGAGGAATGGATAAAAAAGATGTGGTCTTTTTGTACAATAGAATGCTGCTTAGCCATAAAGAATAATAAACTAGATACTTTTATAAATAAATGGATGCAACTCAAGACCACACTATAAGTGAAATAAACCAGATGCACATATGCCAACATCATATTATCTCCCTAGTGTGAGAAGTTGAAAGAATAAATAAGATCCAAAATGTACAACAGACATTGTAAAATGGGAAGAAACTGGGATGGGGAAAGGAGAAAAGAAGGAAGGGAAAAGAAAAAAAAATATATATATATATATACACACATACATAGGATAGTTAAGATAGTTATATACTACTAATTTCTCTTAGGTCATTGAAAAGAAAGGTTTGTGGTAATATTGTTTGGATTGTTAAGTGCCTGTATCTTGTACTCTGAGTAACTAATTGAAAGATAACAGTACACACTGTATTATCCATTGTTACCCTCCTATTACCTTGTTTTTAAATTTTTTTTCTCTTTAATATAAAAAAAATTAAAAAGCAGCTGGTCAGGATCTTCTTGGGTAGCTGCAAAGCTAGTCGCAACCCTCTGAGAATCCTTGGTCTACATCCTCACAAGTTTTGCTTTGCATCTCAAGGCTACTTTGGAGGCTCAGAAAGTTCAGAGACTAGAAGCAGTCAGTGGACACTTCACTAAAGTCTTGACAAACAGAATGATAAAAGTGATTTTTTCTTTGCCCTTCAACCACTATCTCTCAAATTCTGGAGATCGCCCCATCCTCAGCTATTTGCTCATGCTAAGCTGTCTCCTGGCCCAGCAGCTTCCTGTTTACCTAGAGGACACATTTTGACAGTTATGTGAAGACAACAAAGGTGAATGTTGTGAGATGTTGTTGTGAGCTGCTGTTGTGAGAATGTGGGAGGTGCATCCCAGGTCACATCCTTCAGCAGAGACCAATGTGGTCTTGGTTCTGGCCCCCAGCCCTTCAGGTTCATAAAGTAACTGTACATTAGTTCATCTAGTTGTTAGTCTAAAAAATTACTTTAGAATGGTCAGAATCCTGAACCTTGATTATCAGTTGAGACTAGAATAGCATGCTTGCTTCTCAGAACACTGTGATCCTAGTGTTAATGATGCCTGGGGTATAACTGTGTAATTCTGGGGTTTCTTAGGAAGCGTGAACTTAGCAGATTCAGTGACAATCATTTCTTTCTGGACTACAGCAGAACCATATCTCCTCTCTTTGCCTAGGTGTGAGGATACATAATCCTAGTTTCTGGACTATTCAAATCTGCCACATAAAATGTCTGCCATGACCTCTGTCTGCCTCCTTTCTCTACTTTTCTATCCCCTCCCCTTCCATCCACAGAGGTTTCATTAGAGTAACACCTTCTTCCCTCATTTCTATAGATGTTCATCTTCTGTTCAACTCCCAAGTTAAGTCATTGAGGGTGCTTACTTCTGATCCATAGTGCAGCACCTAAATTCCTCATCTTGTCAGCAGTCCATTCATAGTCTCAGAGACGATACTTCCTAATTCCATGTAAGTTTGATCTCTCACAGCCTTCTAGCCAGTGCCTGCTGAGAGAGTGGAGTAGAAAGAGATATTTCAGAAAATTCTAACTTTTTGCAAAACTCTAAAGGTACAAATAATGAGCCAAATGTCAGCTCACATAAGGGGAAGTTACATATTCTCCCAAGTTCTGAACAAAGATAATCTGGAGGGTTTGAAATTCTCATAAGGTCTGAGGTGAGGGTTTATTAGCTCCATAAAAGCACCCTATTTTTTTCTTTGAGGTGCAGTAGTTCACTGAAGGGAAGATATAATGTCTGTGCTTTGCTTTCTTTATAAGCCAGGGCAAGGCTGAACCAGCAAGTTGCTTCCCACATGTTAGCATACTCCTAGCATAAGACACAGTGCATCTTAACTCATTCCCAGCACGTGGGACACCCTGGCATGGGTTTTTTATTAGTCACTCTTGATTCTGTTCTTCAGATTTCTCTGAGTTCCTGAACTTTGGGAGTTCAAGCCTCTCATTCTGCATTCACTAGCATCAAGGCAGACCATGGCTGAATGTTGGGGAATGGAGAAAAACACAACTCTACCTCTCTGATGTTAGTCTGTACTTAATAGACTAATTCTATGAGCTTTTGAGGTCACCTTGACTTAAATTCATTAGCTATCTAGAATGTTTCTTCAAAATGCTTTCTTCAAAATACTTAGAGTATTACTTCAGATATTTTCTCTACCAAAATTTTTCTCAAGAGAAATACCACAGCTGAGGCTGACCTAGCGTGCATGAGGCTCTGGATACATTCTACAGCATCACAAAAAAGAATAAGGAGAAGGAAAGAGAGGAAGGATAGAGGAGAGATAGTTGGGGAAAAAAAGAAAAGTACTGAACTCTTGTTTTTTCTAGAACTTCATAACAGAGTAAGAAAATATTTTTGTTTTTGCAGGTCTTATTATTTCTCTACAGCTTCTTCGTGGTGACATGGACCAAATTCGGAGAGAAAATCCCATGATATTTAGTAGGGGAGTAGCGATTACAAGAAAGTTGGGATTTCCTGATGTCATCATGCCAGGTAGGCAGAACTACTTGGGGATGGGGAGTGAGATGGGTTAGGAAGGTGATGTCCAGTGCCATCACTAAATGCCTCTGAATCCCAAGCCAGCTTGCTGACTATAGTATACTGACTGGAGTGGCCCTTTCACTTCTATAAGCATTTGTTCTTTCCCAGAAGCCTTCATGTCACATTGACAGTCCACCAGATGGGCTTTGTAAAGGTTAGATACAGGCACCAATGTGGAATTCTTCACAGATACGCCTTTTTGTACCTTTCACATCATATTCCCTAGAAGAGAATTACTTCATGAGAACTTATGCTTACTGGCAGAAATATATTCAAATATGTGCCTGCAGTATTAGTAAATCCCATTTGTGTAGGAATTGTAGATAGATTTTAATATATCAGAAAATAGATCAAGCAAATGATATACACAGTGTGCTATGACTAATACTACCTGGCCAGCTTCTCAGTAACTGTCTCACCACCACCACCTTCACCTAATGCCCAGTGGAGATCCAGGTCAGAAAGTGGGAATGCATTGACTTTCAAGTGTGGTTTCAGTAGGAGAGTGCCAGGTTTGTGCTGTCTAGTCAGGTGGCAGAGGTAATTCTGAATAAGTGAGTCCAAACGGGACATCAGAACTAAAGGGCTGTTGGGAGTGAAGGAGGGATAGAAGCATGGCTCAGACAAGTGGCAGGTAGTCTGGTAACTAAGAAGATATGAACAAGGAGAGGGAGGTCATAACAAGCGAATATCTAGTTGTTGAAACAGATTCCATGAGACTTATCCTCTCAGTTGAGTTTTAAAGTTTTTAAGCTCTACTAAAAGTGTGATTGCTTTTGTTTAAAATAGCCATGCCAGGCTAGAATAACCAGATTGTGGCCACTTTAGATATTGCCTGTTTGGAGTTCTTCGTGGTGCTTCACTATATCCTCTTGTTGAAAACATTTGTCACATACCTCAAGAGGAACATGGCCTAAGCATAGAGAGGGCCTGAGTGATGGATTCCAGCTGCCTACCAGCTGCCCTGCTGTTCCATATTTCCCTTCACCTTCAGTTTCTCTACATGGACACTCTAATTGTAGAGCAAGCTGTTTTTTTTTTTGTTGTTTTTTTTTTGTTTTTTTTTTTTGGTTTTTCTCCGGTACCGGGAACCGAACTCACGACCTTGCGCTTGCCAGGCAGGCGCTTTTGCCGCTGAGCTAAATCCCCAGCCCCGAGCAAGCTGTTTTAACAGCCTTCATTTCCTACTCATGAACACAGAATGGTCTCTCGAATAGGAAACTCAGGCCACTGGATAAATTTTTTCTCTCAGTGCAAAGGAAACTTTATGCTATGAAATGTTCCAATCTGGCTGTGGAGAGGTGAGTCCATAGGACTTTTCTCATGTACTATTTTGACACCATTCTTCAGCAAATTCTGGACATGGTAATTGAGCCCATACAGTCCCTGGCTTCTGTACAACATGAGTTTTCAAAAAGAATAGATGGTTACTGAAACTGAGCTGGTGTTCTTTTGTTAGTTAGCTATCTTTGCTCATACAGTGGAGTAATATATTTTAAGACATATACTTTATGTCATTTAGGAAGTTGTTTGTCTAATATTAGGACATTACCTTCCAATACCATTCATGTACTCATGGGATTAAAACCAAGGGAACAAAAACTAGAAGGGAACAAGCTTCAGTCAAAAATGTTTTAAAGCAAAATTTGATTTCCAGTTACACTGAAAATCACCTAAAACAGATCTTTTTTGGAATATTCTCCTCTTTGTATCATTGACACATAGATTTATAAAGGAGTTTTGTCTGTGCTACACAAGACTGTAAAAATGTGCAATACTGCCCCAGATAGCTCACTTGAGATGTTAGTAAGAATTGCCTCCTTAGTTTTTTATAGCTGTGAGGAGGAGGAGGCCAAGGAGAGAAAACAAAGAGACTGAGAAAAAACAGCTGCCTTTGTTGCAGCACTAAGAGAAACAGACCCTAAGTCTGATTCTCGGGGCCCCAAGAAGAACTTGTCAACTACATTCATCTGCTACCACTGCCAAAAGCCAGGCCATCTCAAGAGGGACTGCCCATCTCAAGAGAAGCCCCCTGGGCCATGCCCTGACTGTAAAGGTGACCACTGGAGGTTGGACTGCCCTCTGAAGTGAAGGCCCCAGAGCTCAGACCCCTCCTACCAGCTGGTCCAACAGGAATGAAGGGGCCCAGGATGAAACTGAATTTTCTTTAGGAGGAAAAAGAATGGAGAAGGAGGCAAAGTATGGACAAGAGACCTTACTCTGCCTTCTCCCTCTGGCCAGACCATCATCTTCAAGTAGGAGCCCCATGTAATCATGACTGTAGAGGAAAAAGTAAACAGCCTATTGCTGGACACTGGTGCTAGTCTCTTGGTCCTTTTTTTTTGATCCTGGCCTTCCCGCTGTCACACCTCAGTGAAAGGAGTCACTGATGAGGAGGTAATCTACTATTTTTCACAACCCTTAGGCTGTAACTACTTGTTAGATCTTTCTTGCATATCTTTGTTTTCCTGAGAAACCGCTTTGAAGATACCAACATGTATTACAGCAGCCACTGATAATTTCCTACCAATCTGTCCATAACTCTGTAATGTTTCTATTGTTCCTATGCTATTTCATAAATGGATGTATGTTTATTACTATGTGTTTTCAACAACAACCATTGAGAATAGTCAATGATTATTTAATTGATCACTCATGTATAGCTCTATTTGTTTTCCCTAGAAACCACTTCGAAGAAACCAAAGTATAGTACAACAACCACTGATAATTTCCTACCATTTTTGTCTGTTACTCACTATTACTTGTCTCTTTGTTTTCCTGAGAAACTGTCTTGAAGATACCAATAGGTAAAATAACAACCATTGATAATGTCCTACCACTTTGGACAATTCGGTAAATCCCCTTATTACTATGTTATCCTTCTTTTACTCTTTTAAATAAATTTTTTTAAAATGTGCAATACCAGGTACCAATGAAGCAAGGTACAATTAAAAATTTTCCTTCCCTTAGACAGCTAGAGTATCACCATATGATTTGTCCTGCAAGGCAGAAACACCAGAAGTATCAGGGTAGGGGTGAGAATGGAGAACACAAGTGTATTGTTTCCTGGATTGTCTTTTTAAAGTGTTTAATGCTATTGGTGAAAGTCATCGGTCTCTTGTCCATACTTTGCCTCCTTCTCCATTCTTTTCCCTCCTAAAGAAATAGCTATTTGCATAGATGCCCACTCTCAGGATTTAGGCCATTAACAATTGTCAGCCCATTAACTGTACCTTACTGTACCAGCAGGTTCAGTTTCATCCTTGGGCAAGGCAGTAGGGCTGAACCTGCAGATCCTTCTAGAGAAACAGGAAAGTGTGTTGCTCACTATAGCCAGCCTGTTTTGGGAAACAGTGACTGTGGCAAAAAGAGCCTTGGTGAGTCATACAAGCTGTGGCTGCTCCTGCTCCTGCACCTGGGCCACACTGCCTCTGTGAGAACATTGTGCCTGGGCTGTATGCAGTAGACGTCAGCCTCACAGTGCTGGTGCGGCCAGGCTACAAGAAGCACTTTCATCTTCTTGACACATGAACACATGAGAAAAGAACAAGAAAAGAGTGTCAACAAACGTTAGCATTTCAACACTTAAGTCTAATCAATTATAGAAAATTAGAAATCAAAAATACTCATAAACTGAGGGCCTTATTTTAAAACTACCCAGAATTTCTCCGAAACTAGCATACACTTACTCATTTAGAGGTTTGATTTGGTCTGGCTTGGTTTTGTCAAGGTGGTGCATGTAGGTCCTTGTCAGAGCACACTGGTCGAACTACAAGGAAGAGTTGAAACAGCCTCAGCCGCACCAGTGTCTAGAGTGCCATTTCTCAGAAGTCGTTCTCACAGCCTACTATCGCTTCCCATGGGATTATACACACACAAAATGTGGGTGCTGTGAGCAGAAGATAATCCCTCTTTTGTGCCACAGGTGTGGCCCTGACTACACAGCCATCCAGTGCTGTTCTTGGCCCATGGTAATGAGCAAGAAGCAACCACATGCTTCTTGTTCTAGGAGTGCACTAGGAGCGCTCTAGGAGCTGTCACCCCTATGACCTAGGAAGAAATGCATGCCAACCCCAAAAATGCCATCTTGAGATTATAGAAGCACAAACAGACATAACAATTTAGTCCATTTTTAAAAACTGAACACACGTGTGACCTATTCTGGGTTGAGGGCAGTGTTATATGGGTAGTTTCTCCTTCCCTCCAGACTCATTTTAATTCAGTCCAAAAGCTAGCAACATTGCAGCATACTTTCAGTCTTTTCCTACATTCTTTTAGAAGATGGTGAGCAGGAAAGCCTAGAGCAGGAGAGATGATTCACAGAAATAAGTGGATGTTAATCAACCCTGTTCCCTGTAACTTATGGGTCTGAATTAGCCATAATAAAAATTTGAAAAACACTTTCAGCCAGAAGACTAACCTGAAAGGATTGACTTGCACAAGAAGTCAATGTCCAAATCAGCAGAGAATTCAGGCCATGTCCGTCAGCAGAGATGTGCCAACATTTTCTGTATCTATTTTTTGTCTTTCCTGAAAAGTCTATGCCTTTTACTAAGTGAAAGATCAGAGCTCTGTCTTGGCTCTGTGCAAAGGACAATATTTTAAGCTCTTTTCCAAGCCCTGAATTTGCAAAGTTATTAAATATAAGCGATGTGAGCCAAGTTTTGTACTAGTTGAGTGGCCTTCTATCTTGCCATATAAAGTCCACGTGTGTTTTGGTGTGTCACTCTGAGACTTAAGCTTTCCCCTAAAACAGTGTTTCTCTAACTTGAGTGTGCATCAGAACCTCTGTAGTGCTTAGAACAGCAGAGGGCTGGGCTATGCCAAGAATTTCTGATGCAGTAGGATTGGGGTGGAACCCAGCCTTCTGCATTTCTCAGAAGCTCTAAGTGGTATTGTTGATTTTGGAACTGTCCCAGAAACTACTCTGCTTTAGGGATTTTTGCCCCTTTCTGAGTCAGATCTGAGGCAAGTACTGCTCCTCCCTGGTTGCCATTTACTTGCTTAGTAGAAGAGCAAGGGTAGATGTGGCATCTCTCTAGAGGACCTTTTGACACTTGCCCTCACGCTCAGGAATACATTTTGTCATTTTTTTTTGACCACTGATAAAAAATGCATGCTTCATCTCTGACTGCGAGTGATGTTTCTTTCTCTTTTCTTGTTTAATTGTTTTTTTCTCTGTGCTGTCCTTACATTCTCGCCCCTTTGTTTCTGACGCAGAGATGAAGATAGTTGGGTGTAAGTTCCTGCTTTTGTGTGTCCTGTTTATTGCCTGCTTTCTTCCATCTTCATTTGTTTCATGGAATGTTGCAATACTGGGGTGGGGTATCGTGTATATCATTAATCCGTCATCAGCCTCACCTTCCTGGCTAACTGTTACCTCCCCTCCTAGAGCACTGTGTATTACTTTGGGTGTTCATAAGCTCTGAGAACATACTGGAATGTTTGGAAAACCTTAATAAGTTTGAGGTGTGTAGATGCAGGAAGGGATTTCTATTTGAGACAGATGAGTTGCTCCAGTTGAAAAGAAAATAAGTCATGCTTATCCCAAGCCACAAAGAATCAGAAGGGAAGACAGTTTCTCTTTTCAGTTCTGCTAGGACATACCTCACATGAAGGGCAAATACATAGAAATATAGCTTTGAAAGAAAGCTCTCCTTGGGAGAGCAATGAAATGATTTACTACAGGTGACTTCTTGGGATTATGGTCAGTCTGTATCCAATGAGACTTTGGCATTATCTCTAAGGGGTGGTTTAAAAATAATCACGGATGGTCCCATAAGAGTTTGAAAGACCATTACATTCCTGACCCAAGAAAGGAATAACTATATATAAAAGATCACACTGTGCTCATACTTGTCCTTCTGTTAAAAGCAGAGGGCATCACCAGCTTTCTAGTGATAGAAACCAGAAGTGTGACGCGGCAGCCATGCTGAGAGAATAAAGAGCCCATCTTTTCCAGGTATTTTAAAAAGTCACCCTAAGAGTATTTTTTCCCTTCAAGAAAATGAGGAGTCCTGCAAAATAAAACATTGAGCTCACATTCCCTAAATTCCCTGTGGAATGATAGTTCCACATATCCATAAATTCTATTAGGAGACTTCCTCCTGAAGTGCCAAGAGAAGGAATTGGTACCATCCAAGTACACCGCTGGGTGTGCTAGGAGAAAGCCAGGTCTCATTTTCCATGGTCTCAAGGAAAAGAAACCACATCCACAAAAGTTCCTCGTAGAGACAGAACAAAGTATAAAAATATAATATTAAATACTATTTTGCTGGAAACCAAGGCCTCTTAATATGTGGTTTAATTTGTACAGAAGGGATATGACTATAATAAAAAAAAAAAAACCTGAAAGAGACTGAGTTGCCCAGTTGTGTGCCCTCGTTAACCATCCTCTACTGTGCTGGTTCCACATCGACTGGAGCTGTGTGAGACACGCGACTCCAAACTACAGCTCAGGTTGTAATATCTGGCAAGAGGTTTTCTTGCTAGCATGATGCCCTGTTGCTTGAGCCAGATCTTAGAGTGTCTGAGACCTCTAAGGGGACTGTTCTTGGACGAGACCAAACTTGTCACAAGCTCTGTTTCTGCAGAGTCATATTAGGAGCCATGTCTTTGGAAGGTCAGACTTGTCACTGCTAGATGCCATGACTCATGACAACTCTGTCATGGTGCTTCCCAGACCTTAAGTTTCTGTTGGTTGAACAGCACCATCTCCATCTCAGACCGCTCATGCTCCCACAGTATTTCAGGTCAATCCCTGTCATGATAAAGTAGCCTGAGATTTGTTACTTTGCTCCTTCCTACCAGCTATTTGTGTAGGTTCACAGATGCCTGAAAGTTTAATGTGTATGTAGTTGCTGTATAATACAGCTATTCTTCATATGTAAACACTCCACATCGAGTATCAGCTAGCTTTAGCCTGGGCCAATCCAGCTAGCAGTCTGTTTTTGTACTGCTTGCCAGCTAAAAATGTGTTTTTATATATTAAAAGGATTGTAAGAACAAAGAACATATAACAGAGACATATGTGACCTGCCAGTCCTAATATATTTACTATCTGGTATACCCAGAAAAACTTTCCCAATCCCTATGCCTCCTGTTGATGACCTTCCTTTCCTGACCTGCTGGTGTACCAACAGCTGTTATGGAAACTGAGAGAGATGTAGAGACAGTTAGTTGTGTGGCCTTCTTAAAAGAATAAACTCAATTTGTTGAACTCCATGAATGAAACACTAAACACAGAGGTAAGGCACTATTGATGCTATAAGATCCCAGCCATTCTTAGGGAGCAGAGGGTACCCAAAAAAGGGAGGCAGGGCTGTCCAAGCCTTCCTAAAAGGGAGATCCATTAGCAGAACCACCCTCCAGAACACCCACTCCCACACCCTGCAGAAGAGCTTCACGCTCCCAGCACTTCTCCATACTGCCTGAGAGCTGCCAGCCCTTTACCGTCAGTCAAATTTTACTAGCCAAACTTACCTAGTGACCTTCTACAAGTGTGTGTAGCCAAAAGTTACCATAATCTCAAGGGTAGATTCTATAAATCTATTTTTAACAAGCTCCCCAAGTGATTCCAGTCACCCAGTCAGCAGTGGTCCACAAATGAAGGTCCAGAACCACTGCTTTGCTTTCTCTTTCTCCTTTTCGTTGTAATGTACCTGTTCTCATGCCTCTCCTGCTAATGTTTCTTGACAGTCAGTGCTTAAACTTACGGAGCCTCCTAAAACAGTGCCTCACCCCAAAGACAGGATCCCACTTGCAAGTCATGGCCATCACTGAAGACTGCAGCTCTGGAAAGTGATCTGTGAAGCAAACCTAAGACCTTTCACAGTGCTCCTTAGGGTTTTCTACCAGTTCCAGGAGAATTAAATGATCTTCATTTAAATGATTTAACAGAGAACTTTTGACAAGAAGCCCCTCCCCACGGAAGCAATGATACCTTTCACAAAATGCCACTGTTTACATTGAAACCATAATTGCAAAACTGCAACCCATAAGGAAATTTAACACGTATTCTGACTGAAAACAGTAATGATCTAGGAAAGTCCATTATCCAGATAGACAGCAGCCAGAGACCTAATAAAATCAAATTTCTTTAGTCTGTAACTCACAGAGTATTTCACTTGTATTGAAATTTTTTTTCAAGTAGATAATCACCAAAAAAAGAATGAAAACCATGGGAATATCCAACTCAATACTTTCATTTTGAAATAGGCATTTTGACTTAGAATATCCTGCTAAGAAATTATAATCTTATTCTATAAAATCAACACATCAAATTCTGTTATGAACAGTCTCCAAGATAATGCCAAAGGTTGTTAGTATTCTGTGTCCTATATTGCTATTGTTTAGAACACTTCATTTCAAGGGCATGTTTATTTTAGCGTGGTTAGCCCATGTATAGAGCTACAGAAATTTAAATTGTCTATAAATCACCCTAGAAATTGAATAATTAAATTGTATAAATTTTATAAAAGCTAATAAGTAACTAAAAGACTTTCATCAGAAGATTGTATCAGTACTTTCAGGACTGGGTTTATCTGTCCTGTGTCCTGATAAACTTGATTTTCCTTTCTTTCTAGCTACCTTATTTCACCTACCTGTACACCTGAGTACTATCAGTGATATGCTAGGAGAGCCCAAGCAGGGATATCCAAAGAAAGAAGAGTAAAGTTCGAAACTCACTAGAATTCAAAGCACAGGCTCTACCAAACCCAGGAGGAAAGTCTGCATAGACTGCAAGGCTGGACATCTTCCAGGCTGGCCCACATATGCAGCAACTGCATTTGTGTATGATTTTTGTACATACTTTCCTCTTCCCTCCGTGGTAGCTTCAGGGCTGCTTGTTTGAAAACAGGACAGCTTTTGCACACTGGGGAAAACTCTCAGGGCTCCCGGAGCATGCTCAGTTGTCACGGCTGCTCTTCTGCACTAGAGCCAAAGTGCTTAGAAACGTTTGGTGATGCAGCCAAATGAATGCAATCACAAAACTGCACTGCTAGAATGAGAAGATGAAGGTGGCAGGACTTACCTCGCAAACACCAGAAGAAGGCCTCCATGTGCCCGGGTCCTGTTCCATTCCTGTGTCGTGCACGAGAGGCACTCAGCTGCATCCACAATTAAAGACAAACGATGCAGGAAAGGGGATTGTCATGTGTCTCTGGCTAAACCACAAGGCCCCCTTGCTGGCCAAAACCAAACCCGGTTCCTGCCATTGGGATTCTGGGTAATTAACAGATTGTAATGTGCCAGTTTTTCCAAGAACAGAAGTAAAAAAATGCTTTGTTTACAAATTAAGTGTTCCATAACCTCTCATTTGGTTTCTTTTAGTCTGCCAACACGTCTTGGTCTTACCTGTTTTTCTTTACCATCTTCTTCTTTTGAAGTTTTCCCCCACAGTTTCTACTGTGCTTTTTGAAAGCCAGAAGCCTTCCTTTAGAATATATGAATAAAACTGGTCATGTTACAATTCAGAAACTTAGAGCAACCTAAGTAAGCTCTTCTTGTACATGAATAGACAGCCTCGTTTCCCTTTAGTTCACCCCTCCACAAACAAGCAGATGTGACTTGAATCATTTTGGACCTAAGAGTTTGGGCTTCTTCAGCTCAGTCTTGAGTAGCACAGATAGGCAAAATGGACCAGTGTCAGAGTACAGGAAAGCAACAAGAGCAACAGATGACTTCCCACTGTTGCCTCCCCTGCGCTTTTGCACCGATGTGCTCCCGGAGAGTTGCTCACAAAAAGCAGCAGCACTGCCAGCAGTCCAGTGCCCGCGGCCTGGTGCTCCAGCAGGGAGTGAGATGTGGAGCAAAGCCTCCGGAGGAAGGAGTGATACAGCCTCTAGCTGGACTCAGAGGTTTGGGGAATTGTAAAAAGGAAACTTGTAAAAGAGAAATAACATTTTAGAGAAAAGAGCCATAGAAATTAAAAGTAGGTAAGACAGACACGGTTTCAAAAAAGTGCTATTCCTGCTGCTTCTAAAAGCTTCTCTCTTCTGCAGCTTAGTTTGCATCCGTTCTTCTGGAGAGGAGGGAGACTGGGCAGTCTGAGAAAGTTCTCTACCTTGGAGTAAACACCTTTAGGATTCAAACTTAGAGAACACATAACTAACCTTCCTGAGTCCTGCTAAAATGATTTGGTTTAGTATCCATTGTTATTAACCAAGCTTGGAATGCCCTGAACACCCACTGAGCCCCTGAGGACCCAAATGCCAGCCTGGTCCTCCATGCACACGGTGCAGTGGTGTGGTCACGAGGACCTGGCGTTTCTCTCCCCACAGGTGATATCCGCAATGACTTATACCTGACTCTGGAGAAGGGGGATTTTGAGAGAGGGGGAAAGAGTGTACAAAAGAATATTGAAGTGACCATGTATGTGCTTTATGCAGATGGAGAAATCTTGAAGGTAAGACTCGCCAGTCAGTATTCCCAAAAAAGGCTAATGTAACAATTGTAGTGCTTCTGTGGAAGGCCTGTTACTAACCTCAGACCACCCATATGCACTCTTTCCTACCTTATCCTCTTCTCAAGGAAACCCTACAGAGTACTTTGATAATGACTTCTGGTGTTAGCCTCTGCAGAAAATTTTCCTAGTGTCTGACCCAGATCCCTCCTGCTCTGGTTGAAACCTACTCCCTTTAGGTCTGTCCTACATGTTACCTCTTCTGCCATTCCACCTGACTTAGAGTTTTCTGCCTTTGGTAATTGTTATAAGGTCCCACTCTGCCTTCTTGTTCCATGAACTAACACAAAGTAGTATATTTGCACTTTGGTCAAGGTGGGACTTAGACACTCAGCTGGTACATTTTGAGGACAAAGAACAGCAGATTGAACCCTGGAACATTGTTTCCACCTGATGTAATAGAGAGATCATCTGTCTCTCTTCCTTGAAAATGGAGGCCCATACATTTGTTTTTCTGTTGCCTTTGTGTCAGTTTTCCCCTCAGTCATCGTGGTTGCAGTGCACATGAGGTAAAAGGCAAATAATTCTTCGATAAACCTCATTTGTGGGTGCAGGCAACAGCCACCCTGAAGTAGGCAGAAAAGAAGTGGTCATCCCCCTTGTACAGACAAAAAGATAAAATTAGTTGAAGTCATCTCCCAAAACTACAAAGAAATAGAGGAGAATGTTGAAATAGTGATTTGTGTATCATTTAAGAAACCAAACTCAAGGACTTAGGCATGCTTATGGCTTGCATGGAGACTGCCAAAAGCAGTAGAGCTGTCAGTCATTTGTACCAACCCTGTACGGACAGGGAGCTGCTTCTGACTGTACTGACCAATACTTCCTATTCTCCCGGGGAGAGGCACAGGCAGTTCTAGGACTGTATCTTCATGGAGTTATTTGGGAGATACGGTCTAGTTAAATCCGTTTATATCCAAGGAAAGTCAGCACAGCGTGACCTAAAATTCTAGTCTAACACTGGGCCAAGGAAAACTAGGGGAAAAAAATTCTCCACTTTGTAATTTTATTCTTCCTGAGCTATCAAATGTTACATACAATTGACTTCTCTTGAGAAGCGTATTTTTTATGTTTCTCTATTTGTTAGTGATTCAGATGCACCACCTGGCCTCCTTCCAGTTTGTCAGCCAGTGTGTGGGGTTACTTATGACCCAAGGAAAACAAGGAATATGGTGACTGCTAATTGCTTATGCCATCTACACAATTGCTTATAAAAACCCTGAATTTAAGTCAGATTTATTTACATTTCATAGATATAGCCTGGTGTGAAAATAAGACCTTCACATAGGGGAAGTGAAGGGTCCTAGTGACACAAGAGAAATCCAGACTCTGTCTCCATGGAGGTAATGCCTTAATGTGCTTGTTTCTTCTAGGATTGTATCAGCTTGGGTTCGGGAGAGCCAAATAGGAGTTCCTACCACTCCTTTGTTCTTTACCATAGTAATAGTCCTCGCTGGGGAGAGATTATCAAATTGCCTATCCCCATTGACAGATTCCGGGGCTCCCACCTACGCTTCGAGTTCAGACATTGTTCCAGTAAGTGAGCTTCTCCTCCACACTCCCTTGAAGATTAACTCTCCTCTCTAGCATCGAATTAATAGGATTCTTTTATTTGGCCAAGAAAAGGAAGGGGTGGGTATAAATGGATACTCAGATACAGGATGTCATCAGAGCCTATTCTTGGTACTGCTAAAGCGTTGATTCGAAACCAGGGAATCTTGTATTGGCCCTTCTTAGTATTTTAAATATGCAGTGTCTTTCTCCTTTGGGTGTTTCCTTTATACCTATTAAGATGCTTCTTAAAGAAGCCCTGGTTCATCAAGACTAGAATTTACTTTCATTTTGGACCTAGGTAGCCTGTATACGTTGGGGTATAAATTCCAAGTATGAACTCATCCAGCATATTTCTCATCATTCCTTTTGTCAGGTTGTTACCTAGTTAATGACGGAAGTAAGGGACAAAGGTGCGTAGGTGACAAGCACAAAGGGAATTTCTGTTAAAAAGAGAAAGGGAATAACGGCTAACACTTTGCTCTGATTGCAGCAAAAGACAAAGGAGAGAAGAAACTCTTTGGTTTTGCGTTCTCACCCCTGATGCGTGATGATGGCACCACCCTCTCCGATGATATTCACGAGCTTTATGTGTACAAGGTACGGAGCCTGGCTGCCTCGCACCCCTACCCTTCTCCACCACACGCGCGGTTCTCACTGGGCAGACCAGGCTCCAGGCTGGTGCACTAGTGAGTGACTGCAAGACAGCTGTGTGGGTGGACTTCTGTTGCCTAAGTGCACTGACCTTCCTCCCACAGCTCACGCCAGCGGGGCGTTTCCCCACTCCCACTTCACGGATAGACTCTGTTACCATCGTCTCTGTGTCACTGTGGTCTGGGTGGCATTCTAGACCTGCTATCTGAGATCATGGCTGTCAGCTGCCACAGCGTACAAGCTACCGCAGGCTGTTGGCACACCTGGTGGGCACCACATGCCCCGCCTTGTCCTATTTAAAGGGCACATGAGCCATTCTGGGAAATTTCTGAGAAGAAAGCACTCTTCCAAGAGGCCCTGAGCTCCAAGGTCCGGTCTGCGGAAGATGAGAGCAAACATCAACTTAGAAATCCCCTGGGCCCTGGCCTTTGCGTGTGGCGTGGCTAAGGAAACATGCTCTTTTCTCTCCCTTTGCTTCCAGTGTGATGAGAATAGCACATTTAATAACCATGCTCTCTACCTGGGCCTGCCCTGCTGCAAAGAAGATTACAATGGCTGCCCTAATATCCCCTCCAGCCTCATCTTCCAGCGCAGCACCAAAGAGTCTTTCTTCATTTCTACACAGCTCTCTTCTACCAAACTCACCCAGAATGGTAGGTAGTGGCACCTGCAGGGCGGTGTCCCTCACTGTCCTCAGCTGTCGGCTCCACGTTGCTCGTGCGTGTTGAAGGAGACTGAAATCACTTCTTCATGCTGTAATAGTAAGAGGTGTCTTTTCATTTGAAGTTTAAGGAATCTCTCAGGAGCAGCAGCCTATAAGGTTTCCCGGGGCTTTAGTAGCTCCCCAGTGTACAACGAGGCTGTACAGATTTATCTCTGACCTGATCTCAGCACTGAAGTGTCCATTGTGATACATTAAACCTCTATTCCTACCTGTACTTGTCCGAGAGAGTCTGAGCCTTGTTTGACCTCTAAGGGCCAGGCCTCACCGTCTTTTGGGCTTGCTTTTTAGTGGACCTCCTTGCTCTCCTGAAGTGGAAGGCCTTCCCAGATCGGATCATGGACATCCTAGGGCGGTTGCGGCATGTCAGTGGGGAGGAAATCGTTAAGGTATGTCGTTCACCCAATTCTAACGTGCTGCCTGAGAAGGAATCAGAGCAGAAGAGCTTATTTCCACACAATTTCTGCTAGTAAGCCTCTAAGTACATTAGAGGTGAATAGGAATAGATTTGGAGATTTTTCTCGTTTTAATTTTTTTGTTACCTATTTTTTCAGTATATACTGTATAAGGTTTATTGTCTCTTTAAAATTTTATTCAAGTTATAAGCTCTACTTTATGACTTATTCCTAGAGCAAAAATGATAATCAAAGGGTAGTAGTAAAGCATCCTCTCAGAACCAGCTAGCGTTTTGTGCCATCTGCATCCCTTCGGGTCTCCTCTCCCTTCTTTAGTCCTCTTTCTCATTTTCCTTACTTTACAATCTTTTTACCTCAAACTCAGTTTTGTATTTTTCTGACTCTACTCTCATTATTGTAAGAACTCTGAATACTGTCCACTTACTGGCAGCTGCTAATTTTGCCCCATCTCTCAGAACCCATGGTAGCAAAACTTTCCTAAGCCCCTGAGTCAGCTGCTTCTTCCGGAGGCATTTCTGACATTTCCCATCTGCAGGCCTGAGCAGACTGACAGCAGCATAGCAGTCCCCTGTGTCTTTGAAGGGCTTCTCTGGGCAGAGTGTTTGCCTGCCTGGTTTTAGCTCCAGCACACCCCTGGTATTCCCTAGTGGCAAAAGCCCAGCAGTTGAGTCCTACGTAATTAACTGACCCTACTGAGGAAAAGTGGAGGTACCTTCACTCATCAACAAGGCCAACAGAATGCAGGCTCCAGACTAACCCTCAGGAAGGCGCCCTGTCCACAAGGAGCTCTGCCAGCACAGACAGAAAGCAACAAGCACAACTGCACCGCTGCACTTTCATGTCACAGCTCCACTGTGTCAAAGGCACACAGTAGAGTCTCCAAAACAGGAAGTTTTAAAGTCATGTACTTTTTTGAAGCTATTATGTGAATTTTCTTTTAATCAATTGATCAGATTGTCATATTTTAATTTTCTTCACAGACAAGCTAATGCTAATCTTGAAACTTAAATTCATACTCATATCTTCCTTTTAAACACATTAAAAATATCAACCAGTATACAGAAAAAGTATTAAGAAGTCTGTGGTCTTTTCAGAGGTGAGCTATCATATTCTTTTTTTTTTTCTAAAATAAAGACAACATTTATTATCACAAGTTGCATAAAAACACACAGCTTTTACAAAAATGATTTTTGATAGAAAAAAATTTTTGACTACTTCATATTCATGGGAAACACCACACTACTTCTGTACCTCCAGCTAAAGCTTCAAAGAAAGTAATTTTCACAATCAAAATACTCACTGTCTGCCACAACCTGTCTTTGGAAAGAAGTTCATAGTGTGTTGTGAACAGACCAAAGCATTTGCTCATTTAACTTACATTCCCATGCCTGGTGGTCACTTGTGTACAGCACATTGTAACAGTCACAGGATGGTGATGCTAGGGTGATCCTGTCAATCATTTAGGTGTACAACTTTCTTGTACAGAGGGGGACGCTAAGGCCAGGGGGTTGGGGGCGTCTTCACCTGAGCCCCCACCCCAAGGTACTTCCTGTAGTTCATGAAGTCGTCACAAAGGCTTAAAGAAAACCTAATGACTTCACTGCCATCTATCCCTCTATGCTGACAGTATTTTTGGTTTAGGATTATCATATTCTTGACAAAAGAATATCTTACCAATATTTCTGGTTTAAAACTTCAGTCAGCCTGATTTTGCCCCGTATCTCTGTTAGAATCCAAGAGAATGTACTGGCATTTTGACTTTGTTTTTACTTTTTAATGGAAAATTTCAGGCATGCCCAGCAGTAGACAGTAGCGTAAAGAATCCTAGATGTACATCTCACCTGTTCTCAACAACATCAATACCCTAGTCCAGAATCCACACTTGATCTTAGCCAGAAGGCCAAGAAGTGATTTAGAATCCATATTGTTTTAAACATACATTGTAAATATTGTATCATTTAAATTGAGATTTAAATGACAGGATGTTAATTTGATTTTTTAAAGACTCCAAGCATCCATGAGTATTTATTTTTATCTTTTTGTTTTTGCAACTCAAAAATAAGGCACATGCTCAAAACACAGCAGCGACATGAACACTACCAGATACAGTATTTTATCCTTGCTGACAGCCCTGGTCAGCTGCGTTCTCCCTTCTCCTTGGATAACAACAGTTTCTGTGGGTAAAGCCTACCTTCCCGTGGCGTCATTCCAGTGTACATATCATGAGGCCACTGTAAACAACAAGACTACTGATCTCTGGGCTCTCAGGAAGATGAACTTTTTCTCAAAGTGAATCTGGCATCAGAATTACTGCATCTTTTTTATTTCAAAATTGCTATTCTGGTGGACGTCCTGTTTTACCTTACCCAAAAAACAGAGTCTGTCTAAGTCTTCGTAGGGCCCTGGGGCTATAGGAACACACCCCAAGTTCTTCTAGTTAACCCTTAGCTAGGTGCAGGGTACAGTACTACACAATTCTTAAGTCGTATTTTAATATACCAGGAGATTGTTCTTCGTTTATTGGAAGATGATTTCATTAGCATGTAGAAGTTTGACTATGCATGCAAAGGCCTGAGACCTGAACCCTCTGCTTTTTATATTGTTTTCAGTTTCTGCAGGACATCTTAGATACACTCTTTGTGATTTTGGATGATAATACTGAGAAATATGGCCTGTTGGTTTTTCAATCTCTGGTAAGCCACTTTCCGACTTAGTTTTTAATCGTCCCTGTCACATTTCAGAAAGTCTAAGGGATGCAGCTTATTAGAGTGAGTGGACAGAGGGTCTAGATGCATTCAACAGAAACCAAAGACTGAGGAGTGTCCCCCAAGGAAAACCTGTGGTACTTTCAGGCAGATACTTTTAAGATCAAGTTAAAAGAACTCAGCTTGGTCAGGTCTAGATCTAGGCTTTATCGTTCTGGACCCTCAACCCCATCACTAATGTAGGGTTGCCGGCTCTTGAAACAGTGGCCTACAGCAGTGCGAGGCCCAGAGGCTGAGAGAAAGGACAAGATGCCTGCTTTTCACTGACAAGGTGGGATGTAACCTCCAGGAAGGGCAGATTCTCACACCGGTCAAAGAGGCTATGCAGTTCCAGATGTCTCCAGACTTCCTCCCTCCTCCTTCTTGGAACCAGGGTCTGAGGAGTGAATGTTTAATGCACTTTCCTTAATATATCCCGTCCTGAGGGAGGGCTGTGTATTCAAGAAGCGTGCCCCCAGTCTACTTCGTTGTTAGTATCAGAAGGGGGCAGCAGTGAGAGTTGAAACAGGCACTAGCACAGTCTGCCCCTCTGACTTTTCTTCTTTCTTTCCCGGGCTCCTAGCCCCATCTCTGAAGGGCACAGCCTTCCGCATCCTGATTTATCTCAGGGAACAATCTTTCAGTTTTCCTCACCTTCCAGTTTTTTAGGAGACCTTAGTATTTATGCCACATAAACAGGTATTACTTTACCTGTCCCCGTCTCTCTTGCATCACTCAGCGTTATTGGGAAGGGAGAGGCTCACAGTAACACAGGGACACACTAATGAGCCCCAGGTTTGGACTGGAGGCTGGGGGTGGGAGGAAGACAGAAAACAAGACAGACACACAGTGAAAGTCTTCCGTTCACTGCTCATGGAAAACACTATGGAAAATACTGAGAGTTTGCCACTCCTTAAAGAAGTAAGAGTCCCTTTTAGGGACTAAGGATAAGTCTGAAGCATCCAGCAAACTTTGATGACCTACTCTCTCCATTTCCGCCAGGTTTTCATCATCAACCTGCTCCGAGATATTAAGTATTTTCACTTCCGACCTGTGATGGACACATACATCCAGAAGCATTTTGCTGGAGCCCTGGCATACAAGTGAGTTGCGTTTGGTATCAGTATTAGGACTTGTGTTTGAACAGAAAGTCAGCTTTTAAAAAGTTCAAATGCAACCACCATTTGTTCAGCTCCCCATTTTTTGAGGTTCTATAAGCTTCACTTATCTGTATGTTAAATTCTTTCCCATATTTGAATTGTTTTCTGCTATTATTTCTGTAAGTGGATTTTTTGTGATTAGTCCTATCCCTTGCCTTTCACTAATTCCAGTTACTCTTAGTCTTCTTAGAGTAATCTAGTAGCTGTAGGATCCATTTTTCAAGTTCTCTTGTTTTTAAGGTATCTCTGAGCATATGGTCCCAAGCATCAGCCCTGTCTTCTAGTTCTGACACCTTTCATAATACTCATTTCGGCTGCTGATACTTTCAATAGAAATTTTAACCTCCTGGATTTCTTTTTAGTATCTTTTTCTGGACTTTCGTTCTTTGCTAAGCTAGCGTTCATGTTTCATATCATTTTGTTTATCTCAGCTAGCTTATTTTGGTGTCTTCTGTAAATTTGCTGATTGTTTTGTTTATTGAGTACACTATCTGTTATATCTTCTTTGAGCTCATGAAGTACTTGTTGATCTATTTTTTTAATCTCTTCTTTTAGCATTTCAAATAATTCTGTGCGACTTCTGATTTTCTTCCCATCAGTGCCCCGTGAATCAGCTTTGGGAGAGTCAAGAGTTCCTAGGGACATTTTGCTGCCTTCTTTTCTCATATTTCTGAGTTTATTACAGGTGTATACTGAGGTTTACCGGCTGATTGTAGTGGAAAGACTTTGTTGTTAGTATAGAGAGCTCTTTAGTGTTTGCTTTTCAGTGATGCACTCTGGGCATGGCTAACTGTAGGCCTTTACCTGTATCCCAAGGTTCAGCCACCTTCATTAATTTAGGAGGGAGGATGCAGTGTAACTTGCCTAGTACCCCATTCTCCAGGAATGGACCACAGTACTGTTAATGACACAAAGGCAATCCAGGTATTCGCACATAGGGAAAACCAGTTAATAGCAACCCCTGTACCACACTGGCAGTGGCAATATTGCAACAATAATAGTGCCAAAGATAAACCAGATATTGACAAGCCATAGAACTAATAATGTACCCCTTAGCCGTAGAAAAGAGATTTATAATTATGGTATAAACACCAAGGCAAGCCAAGTATTGACATACAGTAAATATCTACTAAATGCAATGACTATTTTTCCACTAACAATATAAAAGAATTCAACAGTATAGCATAGCATTAACTATCTAAAGATTAATAAATCTTATTGGCTATGCTAGTAAAGATAGTGAGGGTTTGGAACAGGAGCATGGAAAAAGTAAAATTTGAAAAATTAAGCAGAAGATGAGGAGAAAAAAGATGAAGAATTCTACTAAGGAGTAAATGGAAATTTATTTATTTTTTTTTTTT